CACATGGCATGAAGATACATAGCACAGAGCTTGAAGATACATAGCACAGGGCTTGAAGATACATAGCACAAGGCATGAAGATACATAGCACAGAGCTTGATACATAGCACAGGGCATGAAGATACATAGCACAGGGTATGAAGATACATAGCACAGAGCATGAAGATACATAGCACAGGGCATGAAGATACATAGCACAGGGCTTGAAGATACATAGCACTGAGCTTGAAGATACATAGCACTGGGCATTAAGATACATAGCACAGGGCTTGAAGATGCATAGCACAGGGCTTGAAGATACATAGCACAGTGCATGAAGATACATAGCACTGGGCATGAAGATACATAGCATTTGGCATGCAGATACATAGCAAAGGGCATGAGGATACATAGCACAGGTCTTGAAGATACATAACACTCGGCATGAAGATACATAGCACAGTGCTTGAAGATACATAGCACAGGGCTTGAAGCTACATAGCACAGTTCTTGAGGATCCATAGCACTGTGTATGAAGATACATAGCACAGGGCATGAAGATACATAGCACAGGGCATGAAGATACATAGCACAGGGCATGAAGATACATAGCACTGGGCATGAAGATACATAGCACAGGGCATGAAGATACATAGCACAGAGCTTGAAGATCCATAGCACAGGGCTTGAAGATACATAGCACGGGGCATGAAGATACATAGCATAAGGCATGAAGATACATAGCACAGGATATGAGGATCCATAGCACAGGGCTTGAAGATACATAGCATTGGGAATGAAGATACATAGCACAGGGTATGAAGATATATAGCACAGGGCTTGAAGATACATAGCACAGGGCTTGATACATAGCACAAGGCTTGAAGATACATAGTACTTGGCATGAAGATTCATAGCACAGGGTATGAAGATATATAGCACAGGACTTGAAGATACGTAGCACAGGGCTTTAAGAGACATAGCACAGGGCTTACGGATACATAGCACAGGACTTAGATACATAGCACAGGGCTTAAAGATACATACCACAGGGCCTGAAGATACCTAGCACAGGGCTTGAAGATACATAGCACAGGACTTGAACATACATAGCACAGGGCTTGAAGATACATAGCACTGGGCATGAAGATTCGTAGGACATGGCTTAAAGATACATAGCACAGGGCTTGAAGATACATAACACTGGGCTTGAAGATACATAGCACAGGGCTTGAAAATACATAGCACAAGGCTTGAAGATGCATAGCACTGGGCTTGAAGATACATAGCACAAGGCTTGAAGATACTTAGAACTGGGCTTGAAGATACGCAACACAGGGCTTGAAGATACATAACACAGGGCTTGAAGATATATAACACAGGGCTTGAAGATACATAACACAGGGCTTGAAGATACATAGAACTGGACTTGATACATAGCGCTGGCTTAACGATCCATAGAACAGGGCTTGAAGACACAGAGCACAGAGCTTGATACATAGCACCGGAGTTGATACATAGCAGTGGGATTGAAGATCCATTGCACCAGGCTTGAAGACACAGCACAGAGCTTGAAGATACATAGCACAGAGCTTGAAGATACATAGCACAGAGCTTGAAGATACATAGCACAGAACTTGAAGGTACATAGCACAGAGCTTGAAGATACATAGCACAGAGCTTGAAGATACATAGCACATGGCTTGAAGAAACATAGCACAGGGCTTGAAGATACCTAGCACTTGGCTTGAAGATACATAGCGCAGGGCTTGAAGATACATAGCACTGAGCTTGAAGATACAACACAGAGCTTGGTACATAGCACTGAGCTTAAAGATACATATTACAGGGTTTGAGGATACATAGCACAGAGCTTGAAGATACATAGCACAGAACTTGAAGATACATAGCAGAGAACTTGAAGGTAGATAGCACAGGACTTGAAGAGACATAGCACAGGGCTTGAAGATACTTAGCAATGGGCTTGAAGATACATAGCACAGAGCTTGAAGATACATAGCACCGAGCTTGAAGACACAACACAGAGCTTGGTACATAGCACTGAGCTTAAAGATACATAGTACAGGGTTTGAAGATACATAGCACTGGGCTTGAAGATACATAGCGCAGGGCTTGAAGATCCATAGCACTGAGCTTGAAGATACATAGCGCAGGGCTTGAAGATACATAGCACTGATCTTGAAGATACATAGAATAGGACTTGAAGATACATAGCACAGGGCTTGAAGGTACATAGCACTGAGCTTAAGATACATAGCACAGGGCTTGAAGGTACATAGCACTGAGCTTAAGATACATAGCACAGGGCTTGAAGGTGCATGCTTTCCTTACTACAGTACCTGGACACTAACATCAAAGTTTTTGTGAACGCATCATACGTGGAGGCACGAAATACTAGTGAACTCTGGAGGGCAGTGAGAAGCGGGTTCCGTTCCTATTTTAACATCACCCGGGAAGATATCACAGGGTGGAATATTGCTCTCCCTAAGGTGAATATCAGTGATAATATTGCTCTCCCTATGGTGAATATCAGTGATAATATTGCTCTCTCTATGGTGAATATCAGGGATAATATTGTTTTTTCCCCTATGGCAGATATCGGTGATATATATTTTACCTATATGGGGGACGCAAAGTTTTGATGGTCAAAAAAAAATTGGGGAAGCTTTGGGTTCTCTTTGTTGACTATGCATTGTACGTCTTCGTAGGCTAATTGTCAACGAGGTTTCGCTACGAGGAATTAGGTACAGCATCTGAGCATCTTTATTTAAAGACGTTTCTCCAATGTAGGATAATTTTTTATGTAATACGGAAGTGATATAGAGTTTCTCAACTTGTCGGTATTATATATCCTTATTGTAGTGAGTTTTCGCTCCGTTTTTCTACAGAAAAAATAAATCCTTTGTTGTGGTTCTTCGGAGAGATACCTTGAAAGGGAGGTTCCTTGAGGCCAGTGAAGGGACCTTGACTTTAAAGGGACGTTCCTTGAGACAGGTGAAGGGACCTTGACCTTAAGAGATACCATTTCCTATTCTTCGACTGAATCTAATTGCCTCTCGTTCCCCAGGAGTTGGGTGACTCTCCTACGGTTTTTCGTGCTCTCCTACGAATGTAATAGTCTTACAGGCGGTGAATTCTGATAGTGTAAGAGAAAAGCACACACACACACACACACACACACACACACACACACACACACACACACACACACACACCAGTCTTATCCCGGACGGTGAGAGAAGAACGGCTGGGGTTTAGCGCTCATTTAGAGAGGAGAGTTTAGATTTTGAGACATTTTCCCGAGAATGCAGAATGGTGGCACTGAAAGTGTGTTGGAACATATTTTGTGTGTGTGAGAGAGAGAAAGAGAGAGAGAGAAACAAGGACGTTGAAGAAATAACATGTATACAGACAGCGTTCTGCCGACAGTAGTGAGAAGAGAGAGGTTGGAAAACACACTTCTTCTGGGACAAACATTTCGCTCTCTGGCTTGATAAAAAGCTCTACTCAGAGCGAAACGTTGTTCACAAAAGCTTGTCCTTCAACAAGTATCTTTTCTTTCAAGAAAATACCCTCACACTGAACCTTAAAGACAGTGCGGTCTAAGACCTAAAGTAACTGAGAACTCTCCCCCCCCCAAAAAAAAAAATGGTCTAGAAGACAGCAGACACAGTCCTTCAGCAGAAAGGGGAAGTAGAACCCAGCAGACGTCTTCCCCTAGCAGACATGAGGATATATCCTTTCCAATAGCTGGAATTATTGCCCCCCTCCCCCTCCTCCCCCCTAACCGCCTCCCCCTCCTCCCCCTAACCCTTCTCCCCCCTCAAAAAAAATGGAAATTTTCTCAGATTATTAAAATAGTTTTTGCGGAGATTAGTTTAAATCAAAATATATGTACTTAAAAATATATTAATAACTCGAAAATAATAGAAAATGAGGAAAGGGACAGGGAGATAAGACGATAAAAGCCCAGACATATAGAGGAACAGGGAAGAGAGAGAGAGAGAGAGAGAGACAGAGGGAGGGAGGGAGGAAGGGGGGAGAGAGGATGGATAGGAAGCCAAAATGCAGGAAGACAAGCAAGGAGCATGCAAGCAGGGCTTGCGGGAACAAACAGGCAGTAATCAAGGAGGAAATCAACCAGGAAGGCAAGCAAGCCGAGTAAAGCCTCCAAACAAGGGTACCACAAGCAAGTGCGGTCACTGCCACCACTGCTACAAGCATTGCTACCACCCCTGCTACCGCTACTGCTACTACCACTACTGCTACAAACACTACTACCACCACTGCTACTATCACTGCTACAACCACCGCTACAGGCATTGCTACCACCACTGCTATAAGCATTGCTACCACCACTGCTAGCATCACTGCTACAAGCATTGCTATTACCGCTGCTACAATCACTGCTACCACCACTACTACAAACATTGCCACCACCACTGCTACTACCACTGTCACAAGCACTGCTACCACCACTACTACAAGCATTGCCACCACCACTGCTACTACCACTGTCACAAGCATTACTACCACCACTACTACAAGCACTTCTACCACGACTCACGAAATCGTAATGACACGATTGCAAACAAACCATACCACGGGCGGGGATAGAACCCGCGATCAGAGTCTCAAAACTCCAGACCGTCGCGTTAGCCACTGGACCAGTGGCTAACGGTCTGGAGTTTTGAGACTCTGGTCGCGGGTTCTATCCCCACCCGTGGTATGGTTTGACTGCTACTACTACTGCTACAACCACTATTACCACCACTGCTACAAGCATTGCTACCACTACTGCTACAGCCACTACTACCACCACTACTACAAACACTGCTACCACTACTGCTACAACCACTATTACCACCACTGCTACAAGCATTGCTACCACAACTGCTACAACCACTACTACCACCACTGCTACAAGCATTGCTACCACTACTGCTACACCCACTACTACCACCACTGCTACAAGCATTTCCACTACCACCACCACTTAC